GGATCAGGATCAGAATCAGCACAGGGATCAGGATCAGGATTGGGATAGAGATGGGGATCTGGAACAGCACAGGGATAGGGACCAGGACTGGGACTGGGACAGGGATCAGGTATTTGGGATTGAGATTGGTCCAGACTGTAAAGGGAGATGGTGAAAAATAGGGAGAGTTGCTTGTAGCACGGGAAGACAGTGATAGGAAAAGCGGTAAAGGTCTAAAACTGAAAGAGGGGAGATTTAGATGAGATATTTGGGACAAACCCCCCATGAGCTGCAGCTGCCCCATCCCTGGAAGTGCCCAATAGTAGCACCAGCCCCACCCTGCTTGTTTTTCTCTCTCCAGCCCACGGGGTTTGTGCTCCTGGGCTGAGATTTGGATCATTTGTCCTTGGTGCCCAGCTGGAGCAGGAATTGTTTTGTCTCCCTGCTCTGTGCACAGAGCTCAGCATCCCCTGATGGGAGCCCAGCCCCACACACTAAAGCAGCACAGAACCTGAAACACAGAAAAGCTGAACCTGAGGCATCAAAAACACCAATCCACATTTTTCAGCCCAGATGAAAACTTTCAACTTCTTGTTTCAGTCTGGTTCTGTCACTTCCCTTTCTCTGCCTGGAAGTGACTCTGTTGTCAGACGCTTCTTCCTTTTCCCTGCTTTGGGCCTCTCCTGCCCACCACAGCCTCCAACTCCTTCTGTTTGCAGGTTCCCAGCTCCAACCAACAAAGATTACAGAGACAAAAAAAGCTTACAAACAATATTTTTCCCCCTCCTACACAACATTTCTGATGCCCTGAAAGGTACCTGCTATTTCCTGAAGTGAGCTCAGACCTCCTGCACAGCGTGTGAGAAACAAGGGATAAACAAGGGGATATATCCTGTCCCACATCTGAAACCCAACTTCACAAAAACCATGCACTAAATGACACATGATAATGGGGAAGGAGATGCCAGCTGCCCTAATGAATGGTGGTGAGCAAGGCTGGAAAAATAAATGATATAATATCTCTTATTATACCCCCTTTGACATAAATGAATCCTGACCCGGAACAACGGCGCTGCTTTCCAAGGGAAAATAACCAGGGTGAAGTTTTAATCATGAGTCAGGAGGCCAGTGCAGGGTGGTTTGTTAGAATTTTGCTTCAGCTGGTAAATTTTGTGGAAAGTCGGGGATGGGGTGAGCGACTTTCACACAGAAACTCCAATTCCTGCCTCTTAGGGGTGGCTGGGAAGGAGCTGCTGAACCTCAACTTGAGGAATTGGCTTTTGGAAGAAGCCCCAAGGAGATGTTCAAGGCTCTGGAAGAGCTGGAAGGTCCTGTTGTTTCACCATGGAACTGCCCAAAATATATCCAGGTTATTCCCTTTGGACTGGTGGGAACTTTCCTCCAGTTTATTGGGAATGACTGGAGGCTCAGGTTCCTGCTGGGGATGCACTTTTTGTTCCTCTGGTTGGGTTTTTTGGGAGTCTTCTTTGCTTTTTTTATTGCTCAGCCCTACAATGGGCATGGAAAAACATTCCTGGGAAATCTTCATTGAGAAAGAGGAGATGGGGGAGGAGGAGCCTCCCTCTCATGGATCCTATTTATCTATTTATCCCATTTTTCCTTTGTTTCCAGTGTCCTGCAGGAACCTTTCCTCGGGGGGAAGGATTAAGTGGCTCTACCAGAACACAGGGTCCACTTAAATATAAACCTGGAGAAGAAAAGGTCCCAGGGAGAGCTTGGAGCCACTTCCAGGGCCTAAAGGGGCTCCAGGAGAGCTGGAGAGGGATTTGGGACCAGGAATGGAGGGACAGGACACAGGGAATGGCTCCCACTGACAGAGAGCAGGGATGGATGAGGAATTAGGAAGAAATTATTCCCTATGAAGTTGATGAGCTCCTGGCACAGGTTGCCCAGAGAAACTGGATATGGAAGCTTAAAACTTGTAGCTGAAGAGAAGAAAAGCCCAATGTGCTCTCACAAGGTGTGTGGCACAGGAATGTTCTTTATTTTTGATGTCTTTATTCATAAAAAAAAACAAAAAGGAAGAACTGCATGCATTGCTATTCATCATTATTATACATTGTGTTTGTAGTGGGATAAATGAAATTAAAGTAACAAACAAACAAAAAAAAAGGCAAGCTGGTTGAGAGCAGCATGGGCTGGGATCAGAGGCTGGAGATAAAAGTGGAAGAAGATATAAAATGGTTTTTTATGAATTACATGTCTGGGAGAAAAGTTTCTTCCTGACCCAGGCACACCTTACCAGCCCCACTCATGTGTTTGTATTTATTATTTGTATCTCTCTGTGCCAAAACACACGGGACAAATCCCTAAATCAGGATCCTGGTGCTTCCACTTCCAGCAAAGCCATTCCAAAGGAAGAATTTTATTTTCCAGAGGCTCACAGGGAAGAGAACTTGGGGAGGAGAAGGGAGCTGAGCTCCTGAGCTTCACAGGGGGAGCTGCACCTGGAATTGGCACCTTGGGAAGGAACTGGGGACATTTTGGTCACAATTGGCACCTTGGGAAGGAATTGGGGACATTTTGGTCACAATTGGCACCTTGGGAAGGAGCAATTGCTCCCCATCTTTCCCAAAAAGGGGAAACCATTCAATAAAAGCATCCCAGTCAGGATCTGAGGGCAGTGGAAGGGTTAATTCCCATGTCTGGAAGGTGATATTCTATTTTATTCAATCCCAATGGTGCTTTTTTTCCAACACCACAGAAAAGTACTGAGACCCTTCCACATTTTCCTACATTTTCCTACATTCCTTCCCATTTTTTTCTAGACTATTTCCCCCATGTCTGCCAGTGTTTAAATCCAGGATACAAGAAGTTGGTTTTTACTGCACTTATAAGTGGTTGCTGCTGATGAATCAGCACATAAAAGAGGCTAATTAATGACTTTTGGAATAACTAACACCCCCCAGGCTTCAGTTTTACCTAAAGGGATCATATTTATCCAGAGACAAGTGCTAGCAAAAGAGAAATACATTAAAATAATCCAGCAATCCTACTACTACATGGAGTAAATTGCAGGGGAAAAAAAAACCCAACAAAACACTTAGCAGGCTATTTTTTCTTCATTAAACGTGATGAGCTCATAAAAGCCCAATTAATTAGTCAGAGTGATGTGAGTGACTCGTCAGAGCTAATTTTAGCAGCCTAAAGTTAGCCAGCATTTCCACAGCAGCCGTTTCATCTCCTTCAGCAATAAATGGAGAGGGATGAACACTTCCAGGAAAAACTCATCCTGCTGCCCTCAGCTCCCCAAAAACCTGGGGAAGGAGGAGTGAACTCCCCTGTGGAGACAGGAGAGCCCCAGTAACCACAGAGAGCAGCCAAACACTGAATTTCTTGGCTGTTAAGAGCAGGTGAGACCAACCTCCCAAGCCCCAATATGATTATTTTACGTTTGCAGGTTAATTAAACACAATGCAAATGAACTGCAATCATCAGGGGGCAAAAAGCATGATGAGGCATTGCTCACTGGATAATTACAGAGATGTGCAGAGCAGGAACTTCCACGTCACAGACACCTTCAGAGCGTTTTCCTTTTTTTCCCAGTTTGAGCCCACAGAGGAGTTGCTGGATTTCTCCATGAAGGATCATTTTCACATAGCCAACTGAGACAAGCCTTTTTCATTTTGTCAAAATCACCCTTTTGTTGTCCAGACTGATCCTTGTCTTTGCAAGGAAGTGCAATACACTAAAAAGAAAAGCGAAATGAAATGAAATGAAAGAGGATTTGGTATAAAATATTGCACAGCTCACTCCAGGCATGATCTTCTCCTCAAGGCTCAACCTGATTTTGCTGATTTAAAACTGAAGGTTTTGTTTTGATTTTTTTTTTTTTTTCCTGACCTCCTGCATCCCTCCAGCTGCTGAGGGAGCAGCGCCTCAAGGAATGGCTCATGATTAGGGAATGAAATCTCTCCAGGATTTTATTGTGGATCCCACAGGATGGGCAGGGTGTGAACACGTGTCCAAAGCCACCCAGGAACACTGGGGTCACTTATTCCCTTGTCCTACAAAAAAACAGTAGATTTCTCAGAGAAGCTCTAGGATTCCTACACTTGAGGAATCATTTGTTGGGATAATGGAGCTCAGAACCTCCTGGGAATGGACCTTCCAAACCAATGAGGCAGCTTTGAAATCCCTACCCAGAGAGCCCAGGGCATGGTTTGTGTGCCCTGCCGAGGTCATTCTGGGCACAGCCAGCCCTGGTCCCTGCAGGGAGGAAAGTTCAAAGAGGGTTTGCTCGAGGGGCTCTGTGGGCATCCCAAGTGGAAGCTGCTCCCTTGTGCCCACAGCTGTCCCTGGGGCATCACTTATTCCCTTGTCTTACAAAAACCAGCCCCGTAGATTCCTCAGAGAAGCTCTAGGATTCCTACACTTGAGGAATCGTTTGTTGGGATAATGGAGCTTCAGAACCTCCTGGAGGGACTGGGAATGGACTTTCCAAACCAATGAAGACCCAGGGCATGGTTTGTGTGCCCTGCCAAGGTCATTCTGTGTCCCTGGACGCGGCCAGTCCTGTGAAGAAAGTTCACAGAGGGTTTGCTCGAGGGGCTCTCTGGGCATCCCAAGTGGAAGCTGCTCCCTTGTGCCCACGGCTGTCCCTGGCAGCCCAGCAGGGTGTGACAGGGTGTGACAATGTGTGACAGTGTGGGCACACTGGCAGCGAGGTCTGGGACACAAATACTGCTGCACACAAGTTCATTGTTTGCATCCAAGGAGCTATGAGGGGACAGTTTGTTGGGAGGGGTTCCAAGGGCAGCAAAAGTCAGATTTGGGACTCTATGGAGAGCCTGTTTAAGGTCACAGCTGCTTTCCTGTAGGAAACATCTCCAGGAGGCTGGCTGGGAGCTGTCACCGGCTCCTCAGGCTCCTCACAGCTGGTGACGAGGGCAACAGCGCTGAGGGACTTTTGGCTGTACTTGATCTCCAGGGCTGACTTCTCCGCTTGCTTCTCCCGCGTCTTCTCGGCGCGGTTCCACTCCTGCTCCTTCTGCTCCAGCTGCATGGCGCTGCAGTGAGGGGCGTACACCTCTGTGGTCTCCTCAAACTGCAAGCAGTCCACCTTGTAGTACTTCTTCTTGACGTGCAGCACGTCGTTGAACCTGTGGCCCCACAGGATCTCCCTGGGCACGTAGGAGCTGCGCGACTGGTGGGAGGTGCCCGTGGAGTCGCCCGTGTAGACGAACGTCACCAAGATCTCAAAGTTGTCCTTGGCCAGAGCTTTGCGGTCCAGGCCGTACAAAGGGCTGTCGCTGTCGATCTCGTGGACGACGGTGACGGGTGTGACCAGGATGATCTGGTCGTTGAGCAGCTTCAGGTCGCGGTACTCCATGGTCATCCTGCCCTCCTTGTCCTCCCTGTAGCGCAGCAGCTGCGCGCGCACCGAGCCCTCCACCATGTGGTTGGGCCGGAAGTCCCCGATGCGCCACATCAGGCAGAATTTGTCATCCCTCAGCCCGACCACGGCGTAGTAGCTGAAACGGATGGTCTGGGCCCTCTTGCGGGCCGTGGCCATCTTGGCCAAGGCCGCCCCAATGATGAAGGTGTCGATGATGCAGCTCAGCACCGACTGCAGGATCACCATGAGGATGGCGAGCGAGCACTCCTCGGTCACACAGCGATAGCCGTACCTGTGGGGGCACATTCAAGTTAAATGGAAACCTTTGTAACCTTTGGAAACCAATGGAAACCTCTGTAAAGGTTTCTTTTTAAGTGAACCAAGAGGGGGAATTGTGGGACTCCATAAAATCAGAGGAGTTTGGGAAAGCTGCAAAAGGCAGGCCTCAGAGACAGCAGAACTGATTGGAGCTAAGCAGTAGCCATGAGATTGGTCAGCAGAAAAATTATGTAAGAAGCAGAAAAGGACAAATCGAATAGTAGAAAAAAATATGTAAGAGGTAGAGAAGTAAGGACAAATATTCTGTGTATTAATCCTTGTCTAGAATAACTAGACAAGTGAACCAAGAGGGGGAATTGTGGGAATCCATAAAATCAGAGGGGTTTGTGTCACAGACATGTTTTATGAAAAATCCTTTCCTTAGGATTTTTTCCTTCTGAGAAGCTGAGAGGCCTCAGGAATACAATGTAAACAATGGTTATCTGCTGCTGTGGAATGCAACAGGTGCATCCTTGATTGGTCCATGGTGGTTGTTTCTAATTAAAGGCTAATCAGTTGGCTGGCTCGGACTCTCTGAGATGGCATCTTCCCATTGTCATAACCATGTAATGAGACTGATGCTGGAAAATAAAATATCTCAAGGTTGTTCCTAGCAGTCCCATCCCATTTGTGATTTGTACACAGACCCCAGCTGGCAATAGAAAATGCACAATTTATTCCAAGCCTGTGATCCTCCCCTGAAGTATTATCCATCTGTAATCCCATTGGCCCAAGTCTTATTCCGTGCCCACTTTGAATCTCCCTGTCAAGCTGTGGGAGGCAGACCAAGCTCTCTTGGCCCTTTTCTCCCCCTCTCCCCCTCCCTCCCCTTCCCCTCTTCACCCTCAGAAACCCCAAAATTGGGGATGGGACCCCCAATAAACCCTCATCTAATGAGCCCCCTCACTCAGAAGCCGTGTGGAGTCTCCTTGCCTGCCTGCTGCTACGAGTGAACAAACAGCATATGGGGCCAACCAAGGGCCCTCAAACGAACACCAGCTCGTACCCGATGGTGGTCTGGGTCTCCAGGGAGAACAGGAAGGCTCCTGTGAAGCTGTGCACGTTCGCCACACAGGGGGTGGCCTCCTCCTCATCGCTGAACACGTCCCCGTGCTGGACGGCAATCAGCCAGAACGCCAGGCCGAAGAACAGCCACGAGAGCACATAGGACAGGGAGAAAATCACAAACATGTGGCGCCACTTGATGTCCACCAGCGTGGTGAAAATGTCCACCACGTAGCTCTCCCACTCCCCGAAGATGTGTTTGAAGTAGACGTTGCAGCTGCCATCCTTGTGCAGGAATCTCCTCTGCAGCCTTTTCACCTCCTTTTCCGCGCTGTCCCTGCAGCTGCCGCGGTAGCTGACTTTGTTCCCCTGGATATTTACGGGCCTGTAGCAGCCACTTTGGTCATTCATCTTCCTCATCTCTGCCTCAGCTTACAGAAGGTCCCAGGGGTTGTTTGCTTTGTTCATTGGAAATCTGTGAAATAAAGGAGAAAGTCTGTTTTTAGTTGGATTTCCAGATCTGATCCCATTTACGCCTGGAGGTGGATGGAGCAAAAAAGAACCACTGCAGACACAAGGATTGCTCTCAGGACCTGAGTTAACCTCTCTTGGTTTTGTTAAATCTTGTATTTCTCAGAGCCATTTGGCATTGCTCAGTGGACATTGCCCCAGGTGACTTTAAAATCACCATCACAGGTAATTTTTGGAAGGACACAGGCTGTGACATCCATCACAAAACTTGGCTCAAAACCAGGCCTGGAAATATGGCCCATCTACAAATTCAACCGGTTAGAAATGTCCTTATCAACCCTAAAATTTGGTCTGTAGATGAAAAGAGAAATCCAGACCTTTGTGGTGACCCTGTTGTGAGTAACGCCTTTAATGATCCCATGGAGCAACATTAAAAGCATGACGAGCTCCCCTGAGAAGTCACAAATGGCACCAAGCACTTAAATTTGGCCAAATATTGGAGGAAATTAATTGTTTTTTCCATTTTTCCTTGTTTTCCTCCATTAGGAAAAAAAATTTGGGAAAATCCCCTTATTTAGAGGTAAAACTTCAATCACATAGGCAGGGAAATTCAGTGCTGGTGTGCTTAAAATAAAAAATGTATCAAACACACAATCATCCATCATTATTTATGTTCCAGAAAAACCTGCTCTTGTGAAGTGAACTTGACTGAGCTGGTGCTACAGAGACATGTTTGTTCAATTTGGAGAAAATTATTTACATTTCAAATGAAAAAAAAAAACCCTCTGAGGTCCTGGAAAGCCTCTGAAATCCTTCCTTCAAGCAAACAAAAAAATATCCGGCTGCCAAAAAAGATTTAAATCTTGATTAATGAGTTTGGAACAATCAGGGAGGGTGTTCATGGTGACACAAATTTAGGAAGTGATGTGGATGAGGAGATTCCTCTGTTAGAGCAGAGAGGAACTGAGCAGTGCCAGTCCTGGGCCATATTCAGTGACCAAGAACAAGAATTGTGTTAGAAATTGAGACCTCATCACCTGAAATCCAATAAAACCCACGACATTTAAAAAGGAAAATCCTTTTCCTGCAAGTCTCCAGCTCATTTCATGACATCCCCGCCATTAACACACAAACCAGCCAGAAGTGATGGGGACACAGCAGAAAAATTCCAATTTTTTGCTAGTTTCATGCTTCTAACTCATATTCTTAAAGGAAAAAAAAAAAAAAAAAAGAAAAACCAAACCTAATATTTTTGTGGGGAACCTGTCATTATTCTTCCAGAAACTGCAGGTTTTTGATGGAAAAATGACAAACCCTTTTCCCATCTTTAAGCTGGTTTCAGAGTTCAGATGTAGGTTTCAGTGTAGCCAAGAAATCCATGGAAAATGAATTTAAGAAGAGCGAATTTCAGAAAAACCAACTTTCCTGGGGGAATTCTTTTCCTCAGGTCCTCACTCCCTTCAGCTGAGCAGAAATGACTGCACACACTTCCAGGCAGAGGAGAGTCAGGCCCAGGAGTGTAAAATATATTGGATGGACTGGATTAACAGCCCAAAAACTCTCCCCTCATCCAAGGAACAATGACAAGCATGCAGAGACATTCATCCAAAAACACTTAAAAGCCAAACATAGTTTCCATTTCTTTTTTTTTTTCTCTTCCCCCCCCCTTTTTTTTTTTTTTTTTCCAGTCCAGAAATGAATGTGACATATGGTGTCGTAGCCTCAGAATGTGGCCTTCATTAAAAAACACAACATTAATGTTTCCAAAAATACTTCTTGGAATAGGGTCTTTGGAAACATTCATATGACTTGCTTTGCTCAGAGTTTTAAACAAACACTGCAGCCTGCTCTGTTGAAGACCCAACATTTTCAAAGTTGTCTTTAACAACAAACAAAAACTGGAAACTGTTGAGGGTTTGGTTCTTTGGGTTTTTTTTTTGTTTTTTTTTTAAGGACCTCATAATGTGAGGTGTGAAAATGAAGTGAACTGCAATCAGGAGCCAATGTGACCTTAAATAAAAATATTTGTGGGGCTTTGTGTTGAGGGGCAGCTCCAACCTTTCTTGTCTGACAAGGGCAGGACCCAGGGAATGCTGGAGCTGGGTCAGGGGAGGTTTTGCTGGATTTTGGGAACAGGTTCTTCTCCCAGAGGGTCCCCATGGAATGGGCACAGCCCCGAGGATGCCAGAGCTCCAGGAGGGTTTGGACAGCACTCCCAAGGATGCCCAGGGTGGGATTTTGGGGTATCATGGCCCCAAAAATCATCACTAGATGATCTTTCATCCTCCCAACTCAATATCCCATGATTGTCCTGCTTTTCTTATTGACTACCCCAAACCAGAGTTCATTGGAAACACTCCCAAACACCCCAGGACTCTAAAAGGGACTCAAATTTATGAGTCAAATACTCCTGAGTGGATCCCACCCTCTGCTGTCACCATCAGAAAATCTCCACATTTCCAAAATTGTGTTTCACTGGCACCACCTTTGGGTTTTGGTGGGGAGAACCTTGGATGGTGACACACACAGCAATGGGGTAAAGGCCACTCTGATTTTCTGGTCATCTGCCACAACCAGGAGACAATTTTGATGTGGAGATGACTTTTGGGAATTCTGACTTTACACGGGGTTTGTCCTAAGCACAAGTTGTATTTATTGAAATACTCCAGTGGGTGTCTGAGATGGGTTTTTGGCTGGTACAGGAAGCCATGGAACAGGTTGGGACTTCCCCAAACCATCCAAAGTAAATCTGCAATAAGAAAGGGGATGTGATGTAGAGCTCCCTAAACCAAAATCAAAAATCGAGCCCTGGAGTCGGATGGAGCAAAAAAGAAGCAGTGCAGAGCAGGGCTGAGAGACAAGAATTGCTCCCAGGACCTGAGTTAAGCTTTCTTAGTTTTGTTAAAACTTGGATTTCTCAGAGGATTTGGCATTGCACAGTGGGGACTGCTCCAGGTGACCTAAAACCCCAAATTACACAATGGACACTGCCCCAGGTTCCCCAAAATCCCAAATTACACAATGGACACTGCCCCAGGTCACTCAAAACCCCAAACTGCTCCATGGGAACTACCCCAGGTGACCTAAAACCTCAAATTACACATTAAATACTGCCCCAGGTGACCCAAAATTCCAAATTACACAGTGCACACTGCCCCAAGTGTCCTAAAACCCCAAAATGCACAATGGACACTGCCTCAGATGACCCAAAATCTCTGGAAAGAGCCTCCTCAGCCACTCCTGCTCAGTATTTTGGATGTGCTTAAACATAACCCAAACCTGGACTTTTCGAGGCCATCTCTTTGAGTCTATCAAGTGTAATAATAATAATAATAATAATAATAATAATAATAATAATAATAAATAATCATGCATTATAATTAGTAACTCCCTGACATTGATGTTGCTCAGAACATTCAGGTCCAGGCCCACCCTTGGGTGCTGCTGGATTATGTGAATCAAATTATGTTCCTGGATTATGGAAATCAGTTTTAGGGTCTGTCCCTCATTCCTGAGGACACCATGGAGCAGAAATGTGATTTCCCCGTCCCAGAGCAGTTTGGGAACTCAGCTGTTTGTCCCTCTGCTGCAGAACATTCACCAAAATCTGATTATCACCAAATTATTACCAAGGGCCACAGAGTCCCAGCCAGACTGATGACCTCCAACCTCAGAGTCGTTTCTAAAGCCTGATTTTCCAAACTGGGAAATATTTGACACATCCCTAAGGAAGCCCCACGATTCCATGAGAGGTCCTGTTACCTGGTAAAGATTAACAACGGGGCTGGGGGAGGATTTAAAAGCATTTTCTACTCACTAAAGCTCAGGGATCTGTTGTTGCAAATGACTCTCAGATGTTGCCAGGAAGCGTTTTCACCTTCCTCTAACACTGACACATAAACCCTCCCCCTTTTCTGCCTTGCTTTTACTTTCTGTGGGCTTTTTCCTGGATTTCTGGGCATGTTTGTGCACATCTTGAGCCTCCCCTTGCATTGCAGCACAGCTGAAATGGGTTTTTTTGCTCTCTGTTCTTATAAATGTATTTCTCCCCTTCAAATGAAAGTTTTTTGAGATGAAAATAAAGCAGCCAAGCCAGGCAGGATGGTAGGAAGGCAGAAACAGAGAAACCTCAAAAGATTCATTTAAATGGCAGAAACAGGGAAATCTCAGCAGATTTATTTAAATGGCAGAGAGTTGTTCTGAAGAATAAATATATGAGAGTTCTGAAACCAGAATAATTGTTAATTATCTAAGCCAAGGCCAGGGTTTTACTGTGCTGGATCCTGAAATGCTCAGGGAGATACAGAAGTGCTCCAGAGATGTGATCAGGGGCCTCCACACTGAACCCCCAAACTGATAACACTTTAAAAACTTCACCCCAATCAGATATGGGAGGAAATTCCTGTATTTCAAAGGTTATAAAGGAGTGCAGTGGCACAACCAGGAACAAACCCAGCACCGACTTTTACCCATTGAAGAGCTGCCACAAAGCAAACACCAGCAGGAGCAGATTTTCTTATCACATTTCTATTTTCATGTAGTTCCTCTTGAGCCGTGCCAGAACAACTCCAGCTCCTGATTGTCAGAACAGTCAATCCAAAGCCTCGAGCATCAAGCTGAGCCTTTCAAAGACTTTCACTGGATGTAATTGTCAATTTAATCCCGATATTTGGAGTTCAGGGCTCAGTGTTTTGTGAGGATAATCCCTCTTGCACCGTAACCTAATACCTAACAAATTGCTGCTACACCCCTTTTATGACTCCCTTTTCCCATTGTGTAAACAATAGGGGTGAATTTTTGTTCGGTGACAACTTCACTCAACAGCCTGTTTGTAAAACATTAAGCAAAACAATGTGAAGATCTGGCTTCCAGGATAATTCTGTTCTGAGATCAAATCAAAAAGAAAACAACCCCAGACCTCCAAATTAAACTGGGTCTCTCTTAAATTGGTAATAATCCCTCCCACCCCACACTCAAAGTGGTGCCTCTCTCTCTGCTTTAGCA